AGATCTTTGGAAGATTTCTCGGAAAATTATAAAGTGTTGAACTTTCTGATATGGATCATCATCAATAAAAACGGAAGAAAAGAAATATGGCTTGAGGGATTTGATCTGAATCCATCAAGATTTTGTATATCAGATCTTTATGTTGTGGAGAATTTTACTTAGTCTTTGTCTAGAATTGTGTAGCTATTTTCATGGTTCATGGGTGAAAGTGAGGGGAAAACCTTATCGTTCCGCATTCCACATGATAAAAACGCAATTGGGAAAATGAATGATGAATTCTACGATTAAAATATCGAATTGAAGAATATGAAGAAAATCTTCAACCTTGTAGGGCAGCTTGGCATTGACATAAGGATTATATCCCACAAGTTGGAGTCTTACATTCAGTGTATGGTGTTGAACTTGCATGGTGGGAAAGGTTCATTTGTTGACTTCAATCATTTCGTAATAATGCAAAGTATGAGACTTTTCGGATCGTTATCTCTCCGGGAGAGTTCTTCCAAGAAGTAGCTAAGCAACTAAACCCTTCAACTAATTATTGTTGGAAAAGCCATATAATGACGAATCGAAGGAATGAGGACAAACCGAATAACCCCCGGGACTGGAGCAGCGTGGGGGTGTCTACAGAAGGAAAAACAATCTTCTTTCCAAAAGATATACCAGCTGCAGTGGATGAGCCGTTTAGTGATTCCCATAGTCATCGTCCATTGCCCAAATCCGTTATGGCTAAGCCACAAGCTGAATTAATCAGCAAGCGCTCACCTCAGATTGCTGACTTTGTGCCCTAGTCTTTCGCCCGGCGAGGGCCGTATGAGCCTGGGGTTACAGTATGCGTTGAATTCCAGAGAATTGGTTGCATTATCCGGAGTTTAGCACCTCGTACTTCTGCCTATTGATGTATCGCGCGAGGTCAAGATAAGAGAAAGCTATTTTGGAAGGGCAGTAGATGGTTGTGGCACGTCAGCAACTCCGGTGCACCATATTAACAGATTATCACCAACCTAAAGCGCAAAAACTCGAATTTAAATATTATTTCACTGCGTTTTGTCGTACAATTAGGTGTTTGCTCGGCAAGACTTGGAATTGCGGGGGGCGGGGTCTGATAATGTGGAGAGGAGTTTGAGTGATCTAGAACCTCATTTATCATTTCAATCAAGTTTTCTAGATGATGAAAGAATTCAGAAAAAGACGTTCGAATAAAACAAGTACCTCTTTGGGAAATGGAGAAAAAAGACACATATATCAATATTGCCCAAGTAGGTAATTTCTCAAGGATACAGAAGAATAGTCAGTGCTTTGCAGACGCCACCTAATTTGCGGAACAACGATCTTGCATTGCCTGAACGGTTTTTTTAATATATCGACTGAGTCTAAAAATTATGGAATATGATCCGATTGTTTGTCTGCTCTTTAGTCCTTACTCAAAGGAAACATGATATGATAGGAGTAATAGCCAATCAATCTGAAAGGAGTAAAACAAGTTTTAAAACAATTCCGAGATCGACCGGATAACAGATAAAGCATGGATGAGAGATTAATGTTGTGATAGACAAACAATCTAAGTATGGAATCATGCCGGTCAATCTTCTTGTGCGTCTGCAGTTTAAAGGATGCGGGTAGTGAGACTACCCCTTTGAAGAAAATATTGATTTTTTATCATGTGTTACTCTACTACTTCAAAAATGTCTAGAACGATTCCAATCAATAGCATCACAGGGACAGCGTGACAGAGAGAAACAGCAATGCTTGCACGGTCCGAAATTCCGGAGAAAGCAAAATCTATGTAAGCCCTACAGTATGAGGCGAATGCGGAGATCTGGGGTAATAGTCATCTGAAGGAAAAACCATAACACTAATTCAAACGAGCTTCGTCTTGCAACGTATGTCTTGTTTCTCGTGCCGTACAACATGTTGATCATTTGCGCCGTGTGACTACGGAGTAAGTGATTTGAAGAAAGGAGTCTCAAACGCCTCAAAATCAAGTATCTTCCGTACTGTTTGTTGATCAAACGCCATCGACCCCGCGATTTCAATTCCTGAAGAAAATGCTCTCCTCACTTGGCGTGAATCATCCATTCATTTATCAATTAGTTTGTAGAATTTGGTTGTTTTTCAATTCGCTTGCTTCTGACAGACACGGCTGATAAATTCATAATGTCTAACATTTTATAGGTTTCCAAACTGGTGTGAGAAGAATGAGGCGTAAATCAGGTCTTAGATATATGTCGTGCGTGAGCCATTATTCGGGGCATTTCCGAGCCCACTCATGCTTGCGGATGATCACAACTCTCCGGCATTGTAAGCACGAGATGAACGTTATGATGTGAGATTTTCGTATTGTTGATACTTTTTGCTTCATGTCATACAACATTGCATATCTCTATTTCAAGAAGACAGAACAATTGAACATCCTCCGATGAAGCACAAGCATATTGCGGATGCGGAGCTTAATCAGGTACGAAAGCAAGATGGCCATGGCCGCATGAACGAGACTATGGGTACGATAGGGAATCAGCTAGTCTAGATCCTCGCAAACAGCCTTGTGCGGCGTAGATAACCCTTTTCATTTTTCCCATGTTGGGGTAAAGTCGGAAAAAGGACCTTTTAAGTAACACGGCGGGAGCCGATTCATACGTTAAGATAAGAAGTAGAAAATGTGATGACGAAAAGAACAAAATGTGACATGTCATCTCGGCTACACGCAGGTGCATTGAGATTCGGAATTGAAAAGATTCCACGATGTCACTTCACGATGTTACTATGCTTTTGTCTCGGTGTGGATGTGCAACTGTGGGGGTCTTTGGGGTATTCGGTGTGAGAGGATAATGAAGAAGGATAAGCCTGAGGTGATCGGAGTTCATTGATTGGAAAATTGAGATAAGAATGCGATAGGGGTGTAGGGCTAGATAATTGTCAATTTTGAAGTTTCGCAGACAATATCAAACGAGATGAAAATAATGAAGTCGCCGAGGACTTTTCAGCTTACCGGCTATATGAATGCTTCATCCTCTAGAGAATAAAAATGTGATATGTAAGTTACAGTCGATATCTTTCCTTTTGCCGAAGTCGAGGAGATTTGGGCTCGGGGGACGCTGTCAAAGGCCCCGAAGGATAAGCGAGTGTTCAATCTTTTCCCCTGAATCATACCTAAAACATTGTGGGGTTTGGCTTGTAATGACTGTCAGTATAGTCATCGTGACCATATCAAATAGTACTTTGAATCTCCTAGGAATACACTAGTGATGAATTCATGTTTTTCTTCTCTAAGAACGTGGCTTGCTAAAGGTCGTACTGATCTTTAAATATTTCTGATCACAATATCGAGCACGTCATGCATCTTTCGAAATCTAGAACGTTTACGTTGTGTTTTAGTCACATTTATCTGAGCTGATATATGTCATGGGAAAATCATTGTATACTGAAGTTAAAGGTTGGATTACTTTGGAAAATTGACTTCATGTGCCGTATGTCTTTCCTCCTGTGATCTTTATGCTAGGTGCTCATGGTACCTGGAATAACATGCCATAGAGATGTAAGCAATAAGCAAATCTACAGAGAAGATGTGTTTTGATTTAAGCCTTTCAAATGGATTGATAGAGTGCGTATGCTGATACTTGATGGGTCAAATGGAAAAACACAATCTTCACTTTGAATAGCAGATCAATGCTAAGAGACGACTTTGTACTGTGTAATGGTCGGTACCGTCGGAACGATGGCCTAGATACATTGCTATATAAAACGGAGAACACTCGGGCTACTTTTATCAATCAATTTGCATGGGACGTAGATGAAAACGATGCATCTATCGGCCTTGAGCTTCATATGTGAAATCAGCTGAAGAAAGGGGCGAAAATCTAAGATACCTTCGAACATATACATTTTCATTGCACTGTTCTATCCGTACACAACACCACTTCTGCCGTATCAATTGCAAAAAATAATACTTCCACATCATCTCATCACACAATAGAGTGATTCGTTGCAACTGCAAGGAATTGCTGTAATGCCATCATCATTCAAAGCTGTTCGTGATATTTTGCAATCAACAACCGGGCCTTGGAGATACTATCATGCTGCCCATACCACATGTGTTGACGGAGATTACCATAGATAACTTTCCGCATAAATAATAGATTGTTTCAATGATATATCCTACATTTGATTTCAATTATCTGGACTAATAACTTAATTGGCATATTTTCCTAATGATTTAGTACTCACTGCCCTCCTTAGTTTCCAGCGTTTATGTTTTTTCAAGTGATCTCTCCTGACAGGTCACTTCAATCGCCCAGTTCTGACTATAAGAAAAAAAATACTTCTTCTCTCCTCTACTTTCAGCTAACTCTTCCACTTCTTGGTGGTGAGATCGTTCATGCCACGTATATTCATATAGGAACGAGCAGATCTTGGAGTCATGGCTGGTTTGAGGAGTATCCAATAGTCCGGACTTCAACCCAACAGTGAAAGGCTTTTGGACCCCTGGATTTATTGGAGACATTCATATTCGTTAAAATAATAAATTCTATTGAAATATTTATAGTTTTTAAATTATTAAAATACAATCAAAACATTCAAATTATTTAAAATATTGAATTATATTCAAACATTCCAAAACATTTGAGACAGTGAAAGTTCAATCTGGTCTGCCAGTCTGGAGAAATTAAACACCCTGATGGTTTGAAAACACATCACTATTCATAAAGCCAGACTACTTCATCAGGTCAAACAAGGAACGATTCAAGAAGCAAACCGAATTTTCAATATAATAAGTCAAAAGAGGGTTTTAAAAAGCATGGATGCAGATTCATAATAGCACTGCGGAGTGCGAATGATGAATTTCTTTGTTCTGTAGCTCTCGGGTATCAATATCGTCCGGGATTGCATAGCCCAAGCAAACGGATATTTTTAAAGAATATGGTAGGATTCGTCGAATTTATGCGGGGCGTCTGTACCTTTCCGTCGACAGTCTGAAACTTGAATCTCATCGAAAGCCGAAGAAAGCTGGAGTATGATGGAGGTAAATTGGTTTTGTCTAGATACAAATACCGAATGATTACCGCAAATATTTTTTACTCTAGAACCAGTCTCCAGAACTATCTTAGTCTGGACAAGAAGTAATGATGCATCCAACACTTGTGCCAGCTGCGATCGCATTTGCGGTCATATTTCTATTGCGTTTCATTCACACCGTAATGTGCGGTCTCTTCCCCAAGGAATGCACCTGCAAGAAAAATCATATTCTCATCCGCGACCTCTCAAAAGCGACCGCTATTCTCAGATTCTCGACGCTTCAATCCCGCGCTCCTCCAAACCAACGTCTTGTCTCTGTCTTCTTCATTTCCAACGCTTTCACCACGACTGACAAAGTCGTCTATAACTCCTCTGTTGCAGAAGCGAAAGATCTTCTAAAGACATCCAATGATGATTCCTTGGGTCTGGCAGATGATACATTACGTCTGGCTCGAGAGATCTCCTTACCGGCTTCCTCCACCGAGCCTATACATCTGAACTCGCTAATCCAACTCGTCTGCTTCCGATTCGTCCTTCTCAAATTCTTTCCCTCCACAACCGTGGTTCCGTGCTCAAACTCGTCTATTCTCCGCATAACTGGACTCATAAATGCACTTTGGATATCATCTAAATGTTCCTGTTCCTCTGGCCGATCACATGTGTCGATGCAAGACTCGCTACAACACGAAATCGATTCACTGTTTCCTCGCCTAGAAAAAGAAAATAAAAATCCACTGAACATTATCCTTCCCGCATACGAAACGCTATGGCGAGTTGTCCTTCGTTGCTTCCTAGAAGTTTCATTTCTTAGCCCGTCCGAAGTCACGACGCAATGGAAGAAGATCATCCACGAATTCCTACGGAACATAAGCCAAGAAAATTTCAGTGAACGGAAAGGAAGATGTTCAGCTCAGGATATTGTGTTTGAGTCTCTGCGACTATATCCGCCAACAAAAAGAATATATCGTCAAAACCAGAGGGATGGATGGATCGCCGCTATCGATATTGAATATTTACAGAGGACCGAAGAGATATGGGGTACGGATGGAAGTGAGTTTAGACCTGAGCGTTGGAGTGAATTGGAAAGCAGTGGTGACAAGGCATACAAAGAAGCGTGGATGCCGTTTGGGAAAGTTAGTTTTCAATGTCCGGCGTCGAAGGTGGCACCGATGATGATTGCAATGTTGGTGGGATGTTTAGTTGAGACTTTTGGTAACGGTCAGTGGATTTTGGAAGATATATGGAGAGATAATGAGATATTGAGGGGACAATCCTTGGACAATGGGAGGGAGGCATTTGGAAGTGTATTTTTGAGACGGGCTGAGGTGAGCTAAGAGTCTGGGTGATGGGTGGGATGAGGGTCGCGAAGTTGGATTAAAAGAAGTGGGTGTTAGGCGTACACTGAGTAGACGATGCTACTTATAATTCAACGTAACACAGTTTTTAGTTTTCAATATTTGGTACAACAATATGAATAGATCTGTTATACGCCGGCTTTGTCTTGCAACGATGGTATTAAAAGTGTAGATAAGAAAATTGAAACTGACTGACAACTAGTCATGTAAGGACTGATTCCTCGCCATCTCTATTGTCACCTCTTTTACGGGCTATGAATATTTTCCGCGAGTGAGTCACTTTTAGAAACGGACTTCTAATCTGTGATATGAAGATGGAATAGACCACACTTGGTCTATTTCTTCAGAGCGTTCCTTCCACAAAACATCGACTCCGACGTGGGTAGGTCACAGGATTAACCATGAAACACCAGGAAAAATAAGTCAAACAATTGCCCATCCCACATGCAGATTCACTTAAAGAGATCCAAGCGCATTGATGAACGGGTATTTCGATTATTGATCTCGCTACCGAGGTGGATAGGTATGAAATGAAAATAGCACGAGCTAATTCCTGAAATCTGTTTACATAAGATCGGCTAGAATACAATCCTTATCCTTGTAACAGAGATCAATTGTAAGATGAGCAACAAAAAAGAAAGAATTTTTTTAGTAGTTTGATATTAACCAGTCGGAGGCAATAGTTGGGATTAGTAGCTGATTAGTCCCTGACTAATACAACATCGGTTACGGAGATTTAGGGGGTGATTAGACACTTTCTTTCGGGTACAAAAATTAAATGGCCATTCCCTAACATTTTTAATATCAGCCTTACATTTGTATGTAGTGGTTGACGAAATCTATCATTCATGAATAATTAAAGTCAAGCTCACGATTTTTCGGACCCAGAGAAAGGAGGAACTTACGAGAGGGTGTTTTTGAATATCACGTGACACTCTGGCATTCGCTAAACGTCATCGACATTAAAATGCGGGGAAGGATCTTCAGGACCAGAGATACCCCGCGGTGAAATTGACATCACTAAATTTAGGCATTGGAAACAAAGATGATGGGAATTTGGATCGATGATTGGCTTTATTCTGAAATTGCATGTTTTGTTTTCCTAATCTCATTGTTTGCTTGTTGCTTCCCGACTTTCCTGATTGCGTGATGGCTTGAAGGTTTGAATACATTTTGGATAAATTTCCTCTAGCAATCCCTTTCTTTTACCCTCCCTCAAACCAATCAATCACTCTGATATCTGCCTTTAAATCCACAATCATGTCTCGAAGTACATTATTACGTATCAATTGTCCCAAACCCCTCTCGGGAATGACGTCTATGACGTTTGCCAAATCAACCCATCGAAGCATCGGCAGAATCCCATACCGGAGTATTTACTCCATAAATCAACTTCATAACCATACGAAGACCATCCCCAATCCTCAACTTCAACAATCTCGAGACCAATTCTCAACTGCAACCAAAATGTCTGATTCAAACAAGAACTTTCTTTTGAGCAACGTGTTCAACGTGAAGGGCAAGGTAATTTCCTCTTGGTTGTACTGATATGGACCCAAAAACTCACATTAACTAGGTTGCCCTCATCACAGGTGGTGGATCTGGAATCGGTTTGATGGCAACTCAAGCACTAGCTTTCAACGGTGCTAAGGTTTACATCGTTGGTCGAACTGAAGACAAGCTCGAGAATGTCGTCAAGCATCACGGTCAAAACATTGAGGGAGAAATAATTCCCCTCACTGCGGATATCACCCGCAAAGACGAGATCGCCCGTCTAGTAAAGGAGGTCGAATCTAAGGAAGAATGTCTTTGCATCTTGATCAACAATGCGGGAATCTCAGGAGAGACTCAACAAACCGAAGCCAAGACTGCCGAGGAAATGAAGAAGAATTTGTTTGATGACGAGAGTTCAACATTTGAGGATTGGTGCAACACTTACCGCACTAATGTTCCTCAATTATTTTTCATGACAATGGCTTTCCTTCCTCTGCTTCAAAAAGCTTCGCAGACTCAGTATGGATATTCTGGGACCGTGATTAACATATCATCTATTTCCGGCATCGTCCAATCTGCACAACATCATTTTGGATACAATGCCAGCAAAGCCGCAGCGATCCACTTGACGAAGATGCTTGCCTCAGAGGTTGCCGAGAATGGATTGAAGGTTAGAATTAACAGCATTGCACCAGGTGTATTCCCAAGCGAGATGACTGCAGGTGGAAAGAGTGGAGAGGATCAAAAGAGTCACCTTGAGAAGGAGAAGTACGAGAAGGTTCCCGCGAGAAGACCGGGTAAGGATGAAGATATGGCTAATGCTGTCTTGTTTGCGGCTACGAATCAGTATTTGAATGGTCAGACGGTAGCTGTTGATGGTGGATATATCTTGCATGCTGGTGCTTAATGATTCTATGAAGTTTGGATGTGTATGATAGAGCTGCATGGTGATGATGGATACGGCACCCAGGATGAATTAAAAGTTTTAATACTTTTTAATTTTTGAGTGGTTTCCCATGGTGAAGTGAGAGAATATCATGGAGCATTAATAATGCCGTCAGATCGCGGAACCCGCGGAGAAGTGAGGACGAACTAAATGACTATGTTTGAAGCCGTTTGCAAATATCGGAAACTTCCGGGAGGGAAACCTGTTGATAGAAATAAACGGGCTGAGACTAGCCTTATCTAACGCCGCACTACCAACAGATCATGTCCAAGCTCCAGTATTGTCGTTCAGAAAGTCTACAACTCGGTAACCGAAAAATACCCTCGGGGCGTTCCTCCCATCTGGAAGTATAGGCTAGTTACCCGAGTCCCGATCTCGCTAATGGACACGAGTAATTTTCCCACTTAATTATTCTTTAGCTCTTGCTTTGGATTGGATATATCGCTCTTTCGGGCCAGATTTGGTGGAGGATTACGTAGTCGCAGGGCTGGGCAAAGGGAGGGTATACTCCGGGTACTCCTGGATGGAAATAAAAGAGTAATCCTCTTGTTTGATTTTTACAGGGTAGGGTAGATATTCTATAAAATATTGAAGAATATAAGTATATGAATTGAATATTATAATTTACATGAAGACATAGTAGTATATAATTTAAATTAAATAATATGAAATCAAATAAATTAAAATCAAATGAATCAAAATTAAATAATTTAAAATATATATACTTATTTATTTTAATCTTTTTTACAATTTGAAACAATTAAATTTTAAGATGATTATAAAAAACAATTATATAATAATATATTTAAAAATAAATTTATAAATTTGAGTTTTATAGAATAATTATTCTATTATATCTTATAGGGTAAAGTAAATATTTTATAAGGGTCAAATATCCCAGGTGGGGTTCAGGTGCCCAGCCCTGCCTAGTAATAAAGTGATCTTACTCCCTTCGAGTTTAGAGGGTGGTGGATAGAGGGACGGGTTCGTACACCTTATTTAAAACATGTAAACAAAACCATTTTTTGAATTCCAAAAAGCATGTCACATCCAAGGAATAATCGTTTAGCTCTCTCCAAAGCTTATCCCGCAGAATTCAGGTTTTATGTCGAAAAATAGATTTGTCCGAAGTCGGAGACTTGCAGAGTCATTTTTGTTAGGCTGATTCCAGTGCTCCATCACTTGACATACATCGGTCGTTCAAAGTAACTTTACTTAGCAGTGCCTAGGTATCGATCCGTCTAGCCAGATTTTAGCGCAAGAAGCATTTGAAACCGTCGAGTACGAACGGGTTGGTGTGGTACTTCGCTTCAACTTTGATATCCTACGAACCTAATTTCCAGAACATAAGTATTGCCTAGCGTTAGATATTAAACTCATTATACCGTCATATTTAGTCAGATTAAAACCCGTCTTTCTTTACGGTATTGGAATTGTCTACTTAGGGACTCCACAACTCCTCTCCATATCTCCCTAAACATAAAAATACACACAAATACAAACACAAACATATACCTGCACAAATCCAAGCACAAATCCCGACACAAATCCAAAGATTCTCTGACACAAACGTCGACGTATCAGCACACCTCTACGATGGAGTTCGCCATCAATTACCAGTCGAAAGGTCAATGGCACTTCGCAGACCTTGTGTCTGGTTCTCACCTCGCATCCAAACCTACGGACGTGTTTGATCTATCACAAGAAGGCGGGTGGCTCCTTGTGAATGAAAAGCAAAGAGTACATGCCATGGCCAGTTCTGGCATGCGAATCGATCTGAAGCGCAGAAATTGGTGTTTTTCCAGTCGTCAAAAATTGTCCTTCAAATATGTTGCTCCTACTAAACCAGCCGAACTTTCTGGGACATATACGTGGAAATATGATAAGAAGTGGAAGAAGTATATGTTAAAGAAGAGGAGGCATTCATGGGTGTTCACCACGTTAGCTCTTGATACGGATTTTCCTGCAACTTTGCCTGCCAAAATGCAAATTTTTGACAGGGCTGATATTTTTGAGCCGGGCCATGCTCTTATAAGTATGAATAATGAGTTAGCTTCAAAGGAATTGGATAGGTTTATCCATTTGTCTACCCTTTCGATACTTCTCGAAGAAGAGAGGAAAATGTCGATATGCTCCAGGGGCGATGAAAGGGACGACAAGGCCGACCCGGCTGCACAAACGACAGGTGTGATGAAGTGTGGATGTTTGTGTCACTGCTTTCCCGCCAAGTGTACTTTGATCAAGTTCGAGAAGAAATTGAACGACATGTTCAACGTAACAGTTCGGGAAGTGGAATCTGAGAAGGAAGAATTACCTGCTTAGTCGACCTAGATATTTTAGGCTCACCACTACGGTATAGTCATTTTTTCCTATAGGGATAGTAAAGGCGGCGTATCTTGGGGCGCAAATGTTTCGGAAGGAGGAGCTTAAGGGCAATATGTGCTGAGTATTTGGTAGAGTGATTAGGTGATTTTCAGCCATTTCCGGTGATTCATAACGATATAATGAAAACATACATATTAAAGACTTGAATATTAAGGTGGAGTGACCCGAATACTCCAAACTATCCAACAGTTGTGATGTGGTATCTCATTCACGGCGGAGTGGTTTTCGATGAAGTATATACTAGCTAGGACATGAAAACCTATTAAGAGTAGGTTATATTATTCATTATTATATTTATAGATTTCCTACTAGAAACAAATATCGTTATTGAGGTAACTAAATAAAAAGATATAATATAATTCAAAAGTTATTATTTAATATTAATATATAATAAAATTTATTAATATCTTAATACCTGAATCTCAATATACCGGAAACTCACATAACGAGGTTCTGCTGTACATTAGTAATAAGTTTTATACTTTCGGCGCGTAGGGCAGCGGCCGCTAGTGCTATTTTAATTCACGGCGCGTCTCCCGAGCAACCTTTAACGAATCGTCTATACATACAGAAGGATCTTGACCAAATCTGCCAATGACATGAATATTTCACAAAACCCAAAAAGAAAGTCTAGACTCGACTTTTGGCTATGGCACCGTCAGAACCACCAAGTACACGAAAGCGTATCAGATCTCATATCTCAGATGAAGTCGACGAATTATCCCCATTACCTGCAAGGACACAAACATCTGCAGCGAAACGTCGAAAGGTAGATGCGCCTACCTCCACGCTTGGCGGTATCTCAAATCGATTCAAGAAACTCCTCGGATTGCGTGCTAAGAAGGATACTGAAGATAGTGCAGACGAATTGGGCGAGGACATCTACGACTTCAAGGTCACGGATGATGAGGAAGAGAGTACAAATGTGTTAGGGAAACCTAGCGCTAGTCCGATAGCAAAAAACATCAAGGCAGCAAAGTCTACAGCAAAGGAAGTGAACTTATCCGCGAAACGTGGGCGTGGGCGACCGCGGAGGAATGAAGATGGTATTGGGAAAGCGAAAGCATTAGCACAACAAGCTATCCAAAATGAAACTGCAAAGAACAAACAAGATGAGGAAATTGAATCTAATGACCAAGACGTTGAGTTTGTCGAGGCACCTTCGAAACGATCTAGTGGCCGGTCGACGAGATTATCTGATTCGAAGAACAATATTTCAGAAGCTCGAGGAAAGACCAATGGAGTACCTGAATCTAGCACACCCAAACGTGGCAGGCCGAAACGACTAACAGATGATTTGGCAGATTTCATGGGTGTAGTTCCAAAGGGAATTCTGACACCTAGCAAATCTAGGAACTCGACGATAAGGAAAAGTGTTGCATTTGACGAAACTGACAAGGGCTTAGAAGGCTTTAAGGACATTCCGGTACGTTTTGGGGTTTATGAGACAATGCTGTTCAAGGTTGGGTAGACTTGAAAGGGTATTCTGGTATACTTCTTGAAGACTACATACTAACGCGTAGTAGTCAGAGCCACGCCCTAAGAAGTCGCGGGATAAAGCCATATCATCCAAGTCTCCTACAGTCACTCACAATGATGAAGAAGACGATCCTGTTTGTGAAATTTGTACGAAACCTGACTCGAAACGCCCGAACCTAATATTGTTTTGCGATGGATGTCCCCTTGCTGTCCATCAAAAATGTTACAGTGTGCCAAAAATACCTGATGGAGATTGGTTCTGCAAAAAATGTCAAAGAACCAAGGTGGCGGCAGAAGCAGCGAGGGCCAACCAGAATAACGCCCCAAACGACTCGGATGATGAAATAACATGCGCTATTTGCAAAGGGCTGGATTCAAAGAAACCGAACGAGATTATCCTATGTGAGAATTGTGATTATGCTGTTCATCAGATATGTGGCGATATACCCAAAAAGCCTCGAGACGAATGGCTTTGTAAGGCTTGTGTCTCCCATGTAGATCACGATCTGCCTGATGGGGAAACAGATTTGAGCCCGATCTCAATTGAAGTACCCACTATTGAGGGACTCCAAATTCATCTCCAAACAATGCAACGAGTATTACTGGATCGACTCACAGGACAGAAACGTCTAAGGATACACGGACATGAAGATGAGGTACATAAAGTGCATCAACTCGTCGAGCAGACAGTTTTAGCTGGCGAGGGTAACTCTATGTTGATTATCGGTGCAAGAGGTTCTGGAAAAACTACCGTAAGGTTCCTTGTCCAAAATCAAATTTTCTAACAAAGCTAACTCATGCAAGCTGGTCGAATCCGTAATTTCAGATCTTGGGAAAGTCCACAGACAAAGTTTTCATGTTGTCAGACTCAATGGATTTATCCACACAGACGACCGCCTTGCGCTACGGGAAATATGGAGACAGTTGGGAAGGGAAATGGAGATTGAAGATGACTCTAATGGCAAGGTAAAGGTCCTTTGGTTTAAAATCATACCAGCATTAACATTGTATACAGATTAGCAATTATGCTGATACGCTAGCTTCCCTTCTGGCTCTGCTTTCCCATCCATCAGAGATATCAGAAATCGAGGCAGACCATACTGCTAAATCCGTTATTTTCGTACTAGACGAATTTGACCTTTTCACGACCTATTCTCGACAGACTTTACTTTACAATCTATTTGACATCGCACAAGCGAAGAAAGCCCCCATCGCTGTACTTGGTCTTACCACTCGTGTGGATGTAGTCGAGAGTCTAGAAAAAAGAGTCAAGAGTCGTTTTAGCCACCGATATGTACACTTATCATTACCTAGAAGTCTTCCGGCATTTTGGGGGGTTTGCAAAGAGGGCCTCATTGTTGACAGCGACGATTATGCCGAAGAGGGGTTTGATCTCTCCACACCCGGACAGAGAGAATTCCTATCATTTTGGCAGACAATGATTGAGGTAGATTCTGTATCTCCTTGCCTACACCGGCGCATAGCTAATATATTACTGTCAGAAACTGTATAATAACGACACGAATTTCAAGCATCATATCCTATCACACTTCTACAAGTCTAAATCGGTGCCTGCATTTTTCAGCTCATCCATCCTTGCTATTTCAACTCTTTCAATGCAGAATTTCCCCCTGTGTGGTCAATCATTCAACCTGGCCAATATGGCACTTTCAGCGCCGGACTCTAAACTTCACATTCTTCAAGGTCTATCCGAATTAGAGCTCGCTATGCTGATAGCTGCTGCACGACTTGATATTATCCTTGACACCGACACTTGTAATTTTGCAATGGCTTACGACGAGTATAGCTCCTTAACATCGAGGCATAAGATACAGACATCGAGCACGGGTGTTACCGCTTTGGGAGGAAGTGCTAAGGTATGGGGGAGGGACGTTGCTTTAGGAGCATGGGAACGGTTGGTAGAGTATGATTTGCTCATATCTGCAGCTATTGGTGCGACACAAGGAGGTGGAATTGCAGGTCGTATGTGGAAAGTTGATATTGCATTGGAGGAAATTCCGGGTAGTGTGGAGGGCCTCACTAGGATTATGCTAAAATGGTGTAGAGAAATATAGACTCGGTGTCCATTGATCCATTAATGATGGTATATTTGCAACATCGGCATTGGTCGGTTTCATCGTCACGCGGTGAACATAATACGAAATGCCCTGTTTTTGAGGGAAAATTTGGTAAGCTGACCTGTCTGCAGGTGCCGACATATCTTCGACTCCATTCAGATTGTTTGTGAGGCGTGACGTCCAGATTTTGTTCTAGAATTTTACATTCCGACTCCAAACGCTTGGGCCAGAATAGGACGAACCCCAGAGAGGGCAATATTAATATATTTTGGCCTGCATTTCTTTCATGGGGTGCTGCGAAATATGTTACGAAGAAGATGATTAATCTCATAATCTGTAAATGGCTTTCTAGACGGCCATTACCGACTACGCAGAGCCCAGTTGGGTGAGTCTAAATTGATAATTGTACAAGACCAAGCACTTTGGCAGCGAAGAATACTTGTTCTCTGCATGATTATATTTTGAGCCGTTTTGCAGTTTGGCATAGCAATTGTTTCCGTTGGCTCCAATGAAGCATAGGGCGGTCGGTTAGCCTCATCCTGAGAAGTTTGGAGTAGGTAAGGAAGGTAGCGTGCACATTTTCCTGATTACCTGGTACTTTTCGTGCCCGTTTGCCCTCTGCCATTCAAAATTTTCACACAATCATTCATTTTGCTTGAGGCATTTATTCTTTTACGTTTAAGGCGCAGCAAGAATGGAAAAGCTCGGTGCGTCAGATGTGGTGGAGCGCCTAGAAAGCGTCTTGGTTTATGCCGGTCAGCTTTCTCTCTTTTTTCATAGACATCGGCATGACTCCACTATATGGTCGATGAGCATACTAGTATTTTCAGCTCTACCATTGGTACGCTCAAGGATGTGCTAGGTTTGCTTCTGCGAGAAGGATTTGGCACGAATCAAATTCGACTCTTCAGCGACGAGGGACTTAGATATTTGAGCGTTCTAGGAGGAGAATGTGCTATAGTATTAGCTAAGAATGCTCCTACTTTTGTGAAAGCTGGTGTAAGAAAGGAACGAAAGACTGCGCGAAAAAATGCGGAAAAGCCAAAAGTGGACATCAATACGCCTGTAGTGCCAACGCCATTCAAGCTTGACGAGGAAAGATTTCTAAACGAACTTGACAAGATAATATGGTATCGCGTAGATGATAATACACATGCCTAAATGGAGCATCTCAAAGATATTTAGTTACATCTTCTCTTGGTATGCCAAATTATTACCCTTGGCTCAATTTTCGTGTTGGTCCACCCTATTCCACTGCGGAATGATTATTTACCAAAAGTAGATCTTACGGAAAGGTAGATTTTCAAAAGATCGTCAGCTATCGCGAACGAATTAATGGTACACTTAATCTGATTCAGATTTTTCCATCACGTCAACATCTCTAACTTTTTTTTTTTGCGAAGTAGCTCTGCATACATGCCTAGTGATTCGGATAGTGATACTGGTGTCAGCTCGATGGTCTCCAGTAGAAGACAAAATTCAGGGGCAAAATACGTTTGCGCTGAGCCATTACCTTTGCCTCCACATATAAACAAAGTTCCTCATCCACCTAACTTCGCTCTGGCGTTTCCTCATCCTGGCCTACGTCTGGCGTAGTCGTCGGCTTCAACCTCTGCATATTCCCCAAGATGAACTAATCTGACTAACACAAACGCGAGTAAACTACAATCTACTCTCACGTCATTTTTGGAAGATGGAAGCTCACTGTTCCGTAAAGTCTCAAAGCAGGACTTATACATCTAATCCTTTCTCTCCGTGTCTTTTTACGAGACAAGAAACGCGGTTTAAGATTCACAGCATAAGAGCCCCTAGGAACTTTTGTATTGATATTGATACGATTAAAGTTAATACTCCTTTATACGACAGTCACAGAGACCTGAACATACCCCCGTCGCAGAAATTGCATATCCCATTGCAATATGTCCCAACTTCACCACCTATCTTTTCGAATGGGAAATTCAAAGATAGCAAGGCAGATCCAATAATCAAGATGAAGGGAAAGCAGCAGGTACTGAAGAGAGGCCTAGAGTGAGTACAATGAAGAACTGCTACTACAAAGAATTTTCCGATACTGATGCAGCAGGTCCAGAGTACCAGCAAACCAACTATTCAGCTCTCCCCACAACCGCCTCAGCTTCAAAACCAAAAGTATCTTTCGAAGCAAGAAGCTCTCGCTGCTGAGATAAAAAAAACCTTTGGAAAATACTTGAAGTGTACTCAAAGCATTTCTAATTCAAGGTAACGACATTAGGCCGATTCCTCATTCAACCTTCCATAGTTTGGAAACCACACACATGCGTACGATTTTGAGCCAATTGAATGACAATACTTGGTTTGAAACTTTCAGTAACCTGACATAATTGGAATTTAGTACCCTCGATACTGCTATTTATCCTCGTGGTCCCAGACAGTTATGTAGAGAGGTGGTGGTTTTGCGGGAGAATGAAAATAATTATAATGCATGGATTCGTCTCATTGTTGGAAAGCTTGGCACTGGTATTTTACCGAATGGGAGGGTGGTATTGGCTATAATTCGGGAGCATCTTGTTGATGGTGAGCGCAGAGCTTGGGTGGCTCATAGCTATATGCCAGATGTGGACTTGGGAAGTAGATTTCACCCTCCACATCCATCTCCTCCTCCTCCGCCAGGTTTCCATAATGCATTGTCACATTTTTCTTGTCCATCACCTCCTCCACCTATAGCTATACTTAGGCTTCTCCAACTCCTCCGCCACCAGTGTCCATCAAACCTTCCAAACCACAATCAAGAGAACGCAACAAAACCAGAGTTGCGAGCATGAGTGATCTAAATTCCGATAACTGTGATGATTTGGTTAAGAAGCTTTTAGATCTTTAGACACCGAAAGGGCAAGGTGCTGAGAAGTGGAGTGAAAGCTCGTAGTAGAAAGGATTAGTTAGGGGTAGGTAGGCTATATGTTGTGTTGTGGGCGAGGGGTTAAAAAAGTGTGTGGATTGTTCTCTGTAATTATGACTTTGCGGCCTGATCAATCGGAAAATTCTTGTGATATTCAATATAAGATCTCACATACTATACTATATTATATACGCAATATTATATAGAAATTTCATGAAGGACTTGAAGAATAAATACAGTAAGATACGATCTATTCCAAATGAACAATCCGAATGAAATACCTGCGCCCAGAATGACGGTTTAACACTGTTTCAATTTAGCTTTTGTTGAAGCTATGAATAACGCAGGGAATGACTTCGAAGATCTAGATTTAGATTTAGATTTAGTTCCTATCGGAATCCTCCCAGCGCCGTTCTTATTAAGAAACATGATCGGAAGTTCTGAGCTCAACACTATAGTGTTGTTACCAACTCAGTGCACCTCTCTTCCTCCACCCACAGCGCCCAACCATCTAATCATCCTACTACAGACATTCAGCTTTCCAGATACAAAAATAAGCAGTGTAGTAAATCTCCAATTTTCAGTCATTTTATATACGCATGCGTGCACGCAACCAGAATAATTTCAATCATCCAAAAGTCTTCAGAAAGCATCACATAACAATCCTTTATAAAAAATATCATTCCACCATCTATTCCTTCTGAGAGACTACCGACCCAAGAGACGAAGAAGCACACAAGCGTCCATTAAAGGTTTTCCTCCCCTCCAATTCCTCCAACGGCATCATATCCAAATCCGCCTGCATATTAGCCATCGGCAAGCGTCTTCTCCATCTATGAACCAGAAACACAATAGAACCAACAATAGCACATAGAATCACTAATCCTCCAATGATAGCTACCGCTACAATAGCGGCTTGTGGGATGACGCTCATATCACTAATTCCATCATGATACGGTGTAGAAGGGTAATCGGAAGATGGGGTTGCGAAAATACGAGCTTGAAATTCGTACTGGGGCGCTTTGGAATGCGAAGGACGGGCGGGTTGCTCCTGTTGTGATTGCGGTAGTCAATATTTATATTATCGGCGTATGCGTCACATAGGTGATTCTACCATCTGCACCGAGATATCGAGGAAAGATGACCGATTGTCGTTTGGCCGTTAAACGATACGCTAGGTATACGTAAGATATTCCAAGCGGTATATCAGCTCGACAAGCTAGGATTGAATAAATTCCCTGCGGGCCAATTCGAGGAGTAGCGCAGTAGGGAATATCGGAACCACTTTTGCGCGTTAATATTCATCCTGCAAAAAGAATTTAGAGGACTGACCAATGAACAATGCTTGAAATTAGCAACGTTAGACGCGGTCGCGGTCGCAATAACAGAGGGCTTTATAGGGAATGCAAGAACTGCAATAATGGATCGAGGTCGCATATCCGCACCCCACCAACTTGAGGGAGGAGTTCCAGAAACAAGTCACGGAACCAGGAGTTATCTAACCTTAATGTGGTTGTACGAGGTGGGTGGGGATCCGGTTTCAGTACGAACAGGGATTATGGTCTATCCATGCACAAATATTCAGTGACTCGTGCGTATGATTCACGGTGGAAGAAAAAGTGGTGATTTGGGTAGGTTTTGATGTTTGAATCGGTAGCCAAGAAGTAGTTTGAGCTAGGGTAGATGTTGAAGAGACTGCTTCCAAAGAAATTGCTTTAACTTGTAAGAGCACGGTCAAAAAGCCTAATTTGACCATAATTGTCGTACATGGAAGCGGTATAATCTTGAAGAGGATGGATACTCTTCAAAGCCCAATACGAACGACATCGAGCGACCTTTCTTCTTGTGGCGTATTGAAACACAACGAGCCACCTCCACCTTGTATCACACTAAACTCCCGAGATCAGGCCATCTATCGTGCCTTGGTGAATCACTGATTGCTTTTAATCGATATTGGAGGCGCTTGTCTCAAGACACTGATCTGGTTCATATTATTCTTCATTTATGGTGGTATATCTAGGTATCTAGCTCCATTTTATTCTGGCAAGCTCATAGCATTTGCTAGTCGAGCATCAAAATCATCCCATAACACCGTGAACGCCTAGCAATGTACAATAAATCATTTGTTACAATGGAGCAGCTGCATCGTCTGATTCGGCTATTGGTATCTCAGCAATAGCTTGAGCAGCACCTACGGCATGAAATCCATCAAGGGTTACCTTTACAGCACCTGCTTGGACGAGCTACGGAGAATTAGCATTACGACGTGGAAATTTTTCAGCCTGTACTTACAGCTCGGCTCAAATCATATATCAAATCTGTTACGTCCTCAATTCCAACACACAATCTAATGATATCTTCTGGCATCTGTCTTTCCTTCCTCGTCTTTGCATCAATACTGGCATGACTCATCTGGCATGGCATACTGATCAGACTGTTGACACAACCAAAACTAACACTAATGCCCCATAACTTTGCGGCTTCAACAATTCTCTCGGAGAGAGCAACATCACCTGTTTCGAAAGATAGTACGGCTCCAGCTCCACGAGCCATAGACCAGTGAAGATCGTATTGAGGGTGAGATTTCAGACCCGGGTATCTTACACGGAAACCATGTGATTCTAAGAATTCAGCAATTGCTTGAGCATTCGTCTGTTGTCGTTCCATACGGATTGCCAAAGTCTTTATTCCCCTCATGAGTAAGAATGAGTCATTCGGTGAAAGGCCACAACCAGTAGAATTGATTGTGAAGTACATCTTATCTCCAATAGCGGGATCGTTGAAAGCCAAAACACCGGCCATAATATCGTGATGCCCAGAAAGATATTTCGTGCCTGACTCATAAACAATATCTGCGCCTAGGTCCAATGGATTGCATAACATGGGGGAGAGCATGGTGTTGTCAACCACAACCAAAGCCTTCTCATTCAGCTCGTGTGCGGTCCTTGCAATTGTTGCGATATCAACAATCTTTATCAAGGGATTGGTTGGAGTCTCTAGTAGAACCATAGCTGTTTTAGGACCTAAAACTGCTTTGACTTTGTCGGGGTTGGTCGTATCAACATGGTGTACAACTATACCGGTGTTCGCAGCCAGGTATGTCAACAATCGATTGGTACCCCCGTATAAATCATCTCCTGTGATAACTTCATCGCCAGGTCGTAGAATTCGTGTTATAACATCTAATGCGCCCATACCAGACCCAACAACGAGCGCACGGGTAGCGTTCATAATCTTGGCGAGATGTCGCTCTAAATGTGTTCTTGTAGGGTTGCCGGATCGTGTGTAATCGTATTCTGATCCGCCGCCAGCTAAGTTCTGTTTGAATGTGGCAGATTGGTATATTGGCATACTCGATGCTCCATATTGATCCTTAGTCTCTGTGTAAACCAATTCGGTGGCCAACGCGTATCTTCTGCCATTGTGTGGACTGGAGGGAGCAGGTGAGGGAGGAAGGTTGTGACCATCGAGATCGATGTGCGGGAATGCTTTGTTGAGGACGCCATTCGCCTTACCAGATCCAGATGCAGATGAGGAGCCTGATGGTGAAGACATAACTGGTATTGTGAATCGGGGTCGCGGAAGGTCGAAGCGCGGAAATCCAATTGATGAGGCCAAATGGGATGTAACAGTGACTGAATAAGATGAAGGACGAAGGATTGAACGTGAGGTTGGGATTGAATTTGGTGTGTAATTTTGGATCGGTTTCTTATATGGTGAGTGAAAATATAATATGACAATAATGTATTTTGTTCGTAAGACTCAAATTTTGTTTTTGTTTCCCCAGATATAGGGAGGGTCCGTCACGCCGTGAATCGGACTCTGAGTCTGAAGATGTGGGGTGTCTGGACGCTAAAAATGACGTGCTCAGTGCTCACTTATCATGATTCGCCTCAAGATATGGATCTTGGATTATACGGAGTAAGCATTTACAGGTGGTGTAATAGTAGTTATAAATGTCATCTTGGAGGACTTTGTAGCTGGACGGAGTCAATTGCAGATGGGAGTAAAAGAGAAAAGGACGAGCACGTCGTGAACATGAACTGATGAGGTTAATAACCGTGATCATGAATAATAATTTCATTCAGGAAGAGAAAGAGAAAGTTATCCTTTCTTTGTTTCTACATCAATACAAATCCATCCCCTCTAACGCCCCGCAAAAGTATGTTACTATGTTACAATGCAATTGTACTTATGTGCCCAAATGTACCTGATGAAGTCGTTAATCCATTGATTCAGTAATGCTCTCTTCAACATCTTCGTATCCATCACTAGAATTTGTACCTCTTTTCGTAGAAGTACTTGCTGCTGCTATGTGTCGTGCATGATTATCCTTAATGATTTGTCCCCCTCCTTTTCTACCGAAGAAATCCTCTGTCTTAACTCCTCGAACGTGCGATGAATCAACACTAGTCATAGACACACCACTTTCCCTTTGCTCTCTGATAAATTCTCGAACTGGAACCATAGCGGCATCTCTGCACGCCTCCTTGATATCACTTCCTGACATACCAGCCATAACTCTTGTAAGATAGTCGATGTCGAAGTCGTTTGGATCAGTCTTGGTGTTTTTTAATATTAAATCCAAAATCCGCCTTCTTTGCGAATTCGATGGTAATGAAACTGGGAATTTCTTAGGCATTCTTCGCAGAATCGCCTCGTCGATATCTTGCATTCGATTTGTAGCACCCAGGATCATAATCCGATCTGGCAATCCACTCTTATTCGATGAAGTAAGTCCGTCCCAAAGTGTCATAAACCTAAATTTGTGAGCTGGAGTTGCGAAAAATTGAAGCAGTGTTACTTACTCTGCTTTCACCATACCACTGGCTTCATGTTCACCACTCCGTCTTTGTCCCAAAACTGCATCAATCTCATCGATAAACACAATACTAGGTTGCAATTTCCGGGCTAAAGAAAACACTGCGCGAACAAGTTTATTTGAATCACCATACCACTTCTCTGTCAACGTCGAAATATGCAGATTGATGAAGCAAGCTCCACTTTCATGCGCCAAAGCCTTTGCCAGCATAGTTTTGCCGCATCCTGGAGGACCATATAGTAATACACCGGAAGGTGCAGATAAAAGAGGGGACGAATGCGAATATAAATGAGGCATAGTGAGAGGATAAATGACGGATTCCTTTAATTCTTCGATTATGTCGTCCAAGCCACCAATATCTACATAACATTAGCATCGCCATATTACTGTTTGAAAGAGGGTGCTAACCGTCGAAGCCAACGGGTATATCTTCCGGGGCTACAACTTCCATTGCAATTTGATTTTCATATTGATCGAGGATTAAATCCTCTTTGCGAGGACGGCGCGAGTTTTTCTTCCCCGAAACTGTTTCTTCTGAGTCCGATTCATCATCACTACCCCTCCTATTTAATCTTCGAAGATTTGCCGCGGCTTTTAATCTTGCTTCTTCATGCTGCTCTTTCTCCGCATCGTTCTGAAAGGGTAAAGCTGGTATTAAACTCTTCGCGACATAGTAAAAAGATGCTGTCTTCAAGTACCAAATACATTAGTTGTTGCTATAAACTACGAGGTGAAGAGCTTTCTGGCATACTCACAGACACAACGATCAATAAAAGATCCTGTAAGAGACCATACTTCCTACTATTACCATCCCCCATCATGACGCGCAGAGCTTAAGGAAAGGCCGAGCCACTAGATGTGCAGCTTATTGATCCTTCTATGAGAATTGGTGAAGGATTAGAAAGCTACAACTTCGAACTTTTAGTTGTCGAAGGAAGAATCATACAACTAATTACAAAGTCGAAATGGCGGCGGTTTTGTTCTACTCAAGTACCTAGCTTGTGGTGTGGCGTTTGTCTGGTTGTCTACTAGTGTGGCTCAATCAGTCCAGAAGTTCTTAGCACGTGCTATATTTGCAAGGATAAAAACCCGATAAGCCACATCTAGGTTAGCTTTGTTTACATTGGGAAGAGGCTTCCCCTCGATTTCGGATGGAATTACCCGTTGCCCATCTCACTGTTTACATTTCAATAGCCCGGCTCCAAGCCTCATCTGTCGCATTGAATCGCATAGACGTCTGCCTTCTTCTGAAGATATTCGACATAATACGCTTCACCGCCGAAAGCACATTAATTCTTCACTCATCTCGCGTCACAATCAAAGCGCATTGTTTACAATAAATGTCGAAATACAAAAATTCAACGCTTGCAGGATTAATAGAATCAGATTCGGAGGATGAACATTTGGTAGAGCACAACATGGCGAAAAAACAATTAGAAGATTCTACCGTTGCGAAGAAAGTGCGAGGAAGACCCAAGGCAGCATCGTCAAAAGTTACAAAAACAAAAGCTCCGGCACGTCGCACCAGTGGAAGGTTAAACGAGAAGACAACACCAGAACCATCGCCTCAGGCGAAGAGAGGGAAAAGAAGTGTTTTGGTAGACAAGAATAATCAGGCGAATGGTGCTGAAAAGGAGGTGGAGCAAATCGACGAGACAGGAGACGTCACTATGGAGGATGCAGCTTCGGGCGATGAATTAGATGCTGAGGTTATTGCGGTGAAGCAATCGAAAGCTAAAGATACAAAAAAACTAGCTACGGCTCGTGGTAGAGCGACTAAAGCAGTGGCTCTAGAACTAGACGTTGCAGAAGAAACTGTGGCACCCGTGGGCAAAAAAGGCCGACCTGGAAGAAAGGGGAAAGGAAAGGCAGAGGAAGAGCCCGCCCTCGAGCAACAATCGCTAGAAAAAGTCATCCAAGAAACTCAAGTACCAGAGGTGGAGATGGAAATGGAAGTAGATATCGAAGAAGATTCGATACTTGCAAATAGCATACCTGAAGTTACAAGGAAAGAATCTCGCCCATATAACGACTCTCGACGACGACAAATATCTGTTTCGAGGCATCGGGCTGGCAGCGCATCGGATACTGAGAGGAACGAGCCAGCTGTTAGACGCAGACTTGGTGAACTTACAAAAAAGCTTGAGAATGTGGAAGGGAAATATCAGGATCTTCGGGAGATCGGGGTCAAGGAAGCCGAAAAAACATTTGATCGATACAAGAAAGCAGCGGAGGAAAAGACAAAAAGTAAAAAGGCCTAACCCCCTCAATCCGCTAGTTACTAACTTTGAGTAGCCTCAAATGAACTTATCGCTTCACTGAAAGCCAATTTGGCGACTCAAACTTCTTTAGCAAAAGAAACTCGAAGTCTGAAGAAAACAATCGAATCGCAAGATGCATTAGTGACCAATTTGCAAGCCCAAATTAATCAATTAGAGTTGGCTTTATCGGAGGCACAGGTCGAAAATAAAACCCTATCTACCAAGCTTGCAGCAAGTCGCAAGATAACGGCATCATATGAGAGCGCGAATGTCAAAGTTCCAGGTAGCGCTATAAAAGCCAATGGTGGCATGCGCATGATTGGAAGCCAAGAGGCGGCTCAAGCTGCACAAGCCGCTCAATTGAAAGAAGATTTATACAGTGATTTGACCGGATTAATTATACGGGGGGTCAAGCGAGAGGCAGAAGAAGATGTTTTTGACTGTATCCAGACCGGTCGTAACGGCAGTAAGTTTCTCTATGCCTTGTTCACATGATTACTTCATACTAAATGTATAATAACAGCTCTTCACTTCAAACTGGGTGTTGAAAATGAAAAAATGGCAAGCGGTGATGCAGATTGCCGATACACACCACTTCTAGACCCCAGCAGAGATAAGCCATTGCTAGAGTTATTACCAGATTATCTTGTAGACGAGATAGAATTTCCAAGACCACAAGCTGCTAGGTTTTATGCACGGATTACGAGAGCACTCACCGAAAAACCCGCAAGCATGGGTGGTCCCGTAGATGAAAGTGATGAGTAGACTCCAATTTATATCAGGCGTTAATTGGGTAGCTATCCTTAGGGGCAAATGGATGAGGTGTTTAGGAGTGAGGGATACATCTATCGAGTATTTGAGGAACAACAGTTTTTATGAATTGATACCTGTCTATATGATACCTATACATCTACTAGTTATTCTTATTACCAGTTGATTGCAATTTATCATTCAACAATTTTGGGAAGTGTCCATTTTCAAACCGAACACCCCTTTTATGGTAATAAGCATTATGCCAGGCCTGTACGGTCTCAACTATGGCACTGATGAACCTTAGCTCGTACTTTGGGATAAGATGGATATATCTGCAACGGCGCTTCTATGACAATGCCTGACAGACATTGTGTCCAGTATCACTTTCATCCTCCAAGTCCTTCTATCGCATTGAGAACCTATTAACTCCCGCTTATCAGACGAAGATGGCGTTCGCCCCTTTTCAGGGAAATCAAATCCGGATACATTGCCCGGCAACACGTGTACTTTAAGTTAAAGGTAGGGAATAAGATCGTTTGAGTGTTGATGCTTAACCTTAAGTTGTGCTCTGGTAACTCTATTTTTGATTATAAATGTAAGTTGAGCAGTAAGTGGGTAGTTTTTCAGCTGTGAAAATGTCACCGCTCGTAGCTCTTTTACGGGGTTGATCTTTGGGGATATATATATTGGATATCAGAATAGATAGATAGATAGGGTGATGAATTATGTTTTTGATGATTATTATGCTGTGATTAGGTTATTTCTGTTCGGGTTACCTTCAAAAGAGGTGTCTTCCCTCAGACTATATATATATGCTGATTAGCTTGGCCGCTCGCAGTCCTCCTTGAATATTGCGGGGCAGAATGGCGAAGTTGTCTTGAAGTTTATGTGGTATTCATCTGTCTTCCTTCTTCTTGATTACTTGTAGCAATTGGTATTGAATAAATTATGATGATGCTGTGTAATTAAGATGATGGCAAATCCGTGAATGCCAAAGGCGCCACTGTCGAGTCGGCACTGGAATTGGAGGGTAGGGCATCATATCACTGGCAACTGGTCTGCTCGTAGATGGGCTTGATAGAATGTAAATAGTCACTCTTTTCTACATCTAGGTATCGATTTCGTTCGAATAGACTTCCACCAGCAGATACGCGGATTCAAGGTGTGCAAGGTATCCAAGTCTTCAGTCTCTAGGAAGGTTTAGACATTTGAGTATAAATAATCATTCCAGATGGTTTCACTACTCCAATTGGTTTCATTCTTTCCAAAAAATTATTAGTATTTGATTATAATTCAAAAACACAAGTGATTGAATACTTTATTTGAATTCAACAATTCAAAGCTTTCGTATTGCCGGGCTCCAAGCCTGACTACTGATGCCCTTGTGATGTGCTTCCCACGTCCCAAAATCATCACAAATCCACACCTCAATTGTTTCGTTCAAAAATCAATGGTCGCATTGTTTGGCCCATAGTGAGTAATTGTATCAGGTTTCACCGCCTATAAGAGAGGACTTCGAGAGCCTCTTAGGTCAATTCTTCCTATGATTCCAAAAGTTCGTAAACTCACTGTGCCCATAAGGGAGGGGACCCCCCTTCCCGGATCAGATAGCCCATGCATTACTCGTGATAGAATATGACAGATTCCGGGTTCAAAGACTGGTTGGACCTCTGTCTTTTGCCAATATGGTTGTTTTATTCAGGGTTTTGATGTTCTTTGAGGAAGGCATATCAATCCTTTCATCGATTCCCTAAGGCTGATGACGTGGTGGACTATATATATATAGCAAAAGGGTTCGATGAAGTTTTGACGTTACCACCTAGCGTCCACCGATCACATGTTTAACTCTTCTTAGTCAGCCTTTCTTTCGTATACCCCACCAAAAAACAAAAGAGTGAACAAAACTTCAACATTAAGAGGTCCCAGCCAAAATACTGGATGGATATCAAAACTTTTCCAGCTGGGAAACAAGCACATTGGCAAAAGACGGAGGGCCCGACCGGGATTTGAACCCGGGACCTGTCATATTCTATCACGGAGTATACGTGGGGAGAGTATCCCGAAACAACAATCATTCTACTAGACCATCGGGCCGGTCGTGTTTGTTTGAATTTCTGGGCAACTATTTTAGTATATGTAATATAGAGTGGAGTGTAGGAGAATCGAATGTCTGAATCGACTTGCGCAATCGCATCCTCCCTCGAAAGGTTTAGGATAAGAGAAATGCCATTAGGCAATCTTTTGAATACCCCATTTTCGATATTCATGCATTCTGTCTATTTCTGTTGGGCCAATATTTTCAATGTGCTTGGAGAACAGAGGTAAATGTACTTTGAATCGCAAACTGCAGATTATGAAAATTATTCGATGAATTTTTACCAAATTGTGAAACTTAGTTTAATTTTGGCGTTGTCACTCGCTTAGTTTGAGTTGGATGAAGGGGGCATCAAAGGCATTATCAGAGTGGGTTTTGTGGGGAAAATAAGCTACAAGCTACTCCCTACATGCACGAAACGATTTTGGCGCGCAAGGCAAAAACATGCATCAAGGCTGATACCTCGAAAAGTATCAAAATGTTCATTCATGTATGAGGTCTCTGCATATGCTCTAATGGCTCGCATGATAGTGATTATATCGCTATTCACTGTTAATTTCTTTCAAAGGTAATATTCACTAACGCTTTGACCTTTAACATCCCAGATAGTGATCTATCTTGGCCATTAGTTATGATTTTGGCACAACTCATTTTAATGAAATGGGACCCGGAACAATGGGTTGACGCGAATGAAAATGATCTTGAATTAACAATTAAGCACAAATGGCTTCTTATTTACCCCCACCAGCATACAGTGAGATCTACGAGCCACCACGGCTTCGCGATGGCGCGCAGCCCTCTCAAATTAGGCGCAAGCCTTTGACACCTAGGTTGACGACGGCAACGTCTTCGGAAAGCGATATCAATACTCCCACAAAGCATGGTCAAGATATACAGGGAAATGGAAAAACGGAGAGACATGATCATATCAATCACACTCCAGCTTCAGTATCAAAATCGCAAGCAGATTCTCTCAAAATTGCGAACTTCAAAACCCTCCAAATTACCCAAACGAGCACGAACATCCAAAGAACAATTTCCACCCCAGCAACACCCCTAAATTTTTCATCCTCCGAAAATCTCTCCAAAATTACACTCAAAACCTCCCCAGAACCATCATCCACTGCAATCGCCTCATCCTACATCACCAGCGCATATCGAGAAGCACGACATTTCGCCGGGGGCCTCATAGCGCATCCATCAGAAAGCACAAAACACTATTCTATTCTGCGGCATTCACACGGCTTAGTATTTTATCAAGGGTCTTCTACCACTCTTGCCATCTCAATCTTTTCCGATGCACCTTTACCGACAGGTCGACAGATATGGTTACAAAACAAGGGATGGACTGGAAATACCGGGATGCGATTAAAAGCTTTCGTCGGGAGTAATAGCAATTGGGTGAACGTCACACCGGGGCTGTCTATCTCAGCAGCGCAATTAAAAGAAAGTGATGAACGAGCCTGGCAACGGGATATCAAAAAATTCCTAAGGAAGACTAAATATCCAAACCATCTATTGCGGGAAACTCTTATCATTCGCATCCCAGTCGAAGCAAGCGATGGGTATTTCCACCTGGTACTGTGTTCTGACGAAAAGAAAAGGGTTATATGTCCCAGTCCCGTATTTCGTATCCTTTCTGCGTCGACAAGTCCTGCTTCGGTGAGAGGTGCGAGTTTAAGTACTTTACCCTTGGAACTTGGTGCGATGGCTATGACTGCTTATGCGAATAAAACAATTGGAAGATTGATAACTCCAGCTACAAGTGCTGCTGAAAAAATCGTTCATCCTTTTATGCCATCTCCAGCGAGGAAGGAAGCAGCTAGGACATTTTATGGAAAAAGTGGAACGGGGGATATGATTAAATCAACCGTGTTGGATGGAAATATCCGATATGAAGGAATGAAAAGTTTTTCGTACAATCAAGCTGGAAGTGGAGATAATGAGTTTGGTCCTAAACCTCCTTATCCTATTTCTTTCGCCGCACGATCGGAGATTCAAATTAGAGAAGATGAAGAAGAAGAAGATTATTTCAGTATGCCCTCTATGAAATTATCAGGTATTGCAGATCATATATCTCATCAACTCCGCGGTCATTATTTCGCATGGGCACGACAACATCCTATTAAAGGACAAGCAAATACCGATGCGAATCAATGGTCTCAGAGTGTAATCTCATCATTACCACCGCAAGCTTCGGATTTGCATAAAGCTACAATCAAGCAAGTCAACAAACGAATCTTAAAAATACACTTTATATCCGAATTCTTCGAAGCCCGCAACTACGATGCTAAAAATCTCGATATTAAAATTATGGGGTTTATACGTTCGGATTCTAATACATCCCATCTTTATAATCATTCTCAATATCATTCAGATAATAATGATACAGTAAGAGTAGAAGAAGAAGAAGAATTGATAGCTTCAATGAACGATATTCTATTCACGCGACAGATTCTTAAGGATCCGATTTTTGCACCCGAGATGCATGTTAATATAGATGTGGATGTGAAAGAGAGGGTAGTGGAGGGATATGCAGAGTTAAGGGTTAGGACGCAGAGAGGGGTAGATGGTGTATTGGGGGAGAGGATGGGTATGAGGGGTGAGGGGGATAGATTGAGGGATATGGGGGTGGGGGTTGGTGGGTTTTTTGTTGTGAGGTGAGTGTGAGGAGGTTTGGGTGTAGATGGGTTGTAGGAGCGGTGGTTGATGGGATGGTTTAATATCTAATATCTAATATCTAATCTATAAATTATATTTAATTCATAAATCATATATATAAAAGAATATATAATATTAAATAAATAAAAAATCTATTCAAATTTTGACTTTTAATCGTCAAGTCAAAAATTATAATACTACCTAAATACTTTTCTGAAACTAAATAGATAGTATTTATTATATTATTCTCTCTTCCATCAGTTAACTTTCTTTTATATTACAATTCAAACCCATCAAAAAAGAACAACCAGCATCCATCCATGCCACATAACAAATACAACATAAAGGAAAGCCTCACAATTAAATCTTGCTCCAAAATCTCACAAAATCCACTCAAAGAAAAGTCAATAAAAAGTATTTCTTTTTCATTCCTATCTAACAACCAAATATCTTTCATTCCACTTCTCATCTCTAGCTAAGTAAAGTACCACGTCCCCAATACCATCATCTTATTTTGCATTTTATAAACATTCTCTATCTAGCCTCATAACCAGATGAATGAGTTGGCAGATGCAGCAAAATATCGCTTCTCTCCTCATTCACGATCTCCAGAATTTCATTGCTGAATAATAGTAAACCCAATCAATCAAGTCAGTCAGTCCATCAGCCAGACCACTCAAATCGTAGGATGATGAAAAAAGCTATCGAATTCGATGTAAAGCACAGCTCTCCCTTGGTTCAACACATTTCATGCCAGTCAATTGAAATTCCTTCATCGTCAATTCATCTCACTTCTCTGCTCCCACCCTCTCTTAACTTCCCATCAATGACTAGCATTAAAATCTGAAAGTCTCACACCTAACCTTTTCCTAAGAAAAGAAAGGTGTCTCGAAAATAAAAAATTCCGTCGTGGAAATGAAGAATGTCCATAGATACACATTACTGTTATTAGCCCATGTAATAAGTGTATTAATATTGCTTGTGAACTCCTCCGAAAAACAACGTAAAAAGGAAAAAATAAAAACACCATCCACAAAAATATTGCAAACTCTGTGCAAAGGAGTAAAGAAGGAAAATATTGAACAATTTGCTCAATGATGAGGTGAAAATGCGTCAATAGAAACTTGTGTACATTCGTCGTTCTGTTCATATCGAATTTAATTTGTTGGATCCAGTTGCTAATTGCGCCATATGTGAGACCCTATCTTTATACTTGAAGGAAGTCCATACCGAGGCATAGATAATCTATTTACCCCTTTTAAATAGATAGGTATCTGAATTACAAGGCTTGACCTGGAAGAGGCTTTCTTTCTACTGGACTTCGGATGTTTGGAGGAGATGAAGAACCATCCATTGGTACCGCAGAAGTGATTGGAGGACTTGGTTGTCTAGAAATAGGATCGGTATCCGAATCACTGCGAGCACGTCCCTCATTTGGTGGAGTCACTTGTTGATTTGTTGGGGTGACTGGTCGCTGCTGGTTTGTCTGACCTTGTGGAATTATTATGCTTGGTGCAGGTGGACCTTGTGGTGTCATTGAACGTTGTTGATTTGGGTGATTTGGAGGAACCATTGGGCGTTGACCTTGAGGTGTCAAGGGTCTGTTACCAGCGGGCGACATTGTTCTAGGAGGACCTTGCATCATGCCAGGACTACGAGGAGGACCTTGACCATTTGGTGGCATCGGTCTTGGAGGTCCATTTGGTAATGGTCCATTTGGCGACAAAGATTTAGGAGGACCTTGCTTCATTCCAGGGCCACGAGGAGGACCACCTTGTCCATTCGATTGCATCGGTCTTGGTGGTCCATTTGGCAATGGTCCTTTTGATGGCATAGGTCTTGGTGGTCCGTTTGACGATGGTCCGTTTGATGGCCCATTTGGTGTCATTGTTCGATTACCCATTGGAGACGATGGATAAGGTGGCCCATCCTTGTTAGTAATGCGAGGAGGACCTTGTTGACCACGCATAGCAGGTGAACCTTGAGGACCAGCTTGTTGAGGACGAGGTTTAACAGGTCGAGTAGAAAGACAAGTCCGAGGAACAACACCTTGTTTAGAACGATCGAGACGAATGCAAAGAGCCTGTTTTTAATTAGCATGTGGATGGATTATCGAATGATATTGAAGAAGAGAAGTGAAAACTACTTACCCATCCATCGTCATATTCATGCAAGATACGAATCAATTGACCAGCTTTTAATTCAAGTTCATCATCCATGGATGGTGCGAAATCAAGTTGAACTCGGTGAACAGTGGTATTAGGAGGACCACCAGCTGCGACAATAGCCATACCAGTTGCGGATTGAGCTTGAGTATTTCCTGATACAGTACTAAATTCAGAGCCAGATGGACTTGGTGGGCTTAAAGCAGTGTTGCTTTTGGTAGTGAAGTCTATTTGTCTGAGACCATTTCCGGCTTTAGAAGCACTGCGAGCTAGACCAACGGGTTTGACTTGAGCGGGAGCAGGGGCACCTTGAGCGGAAGGAGTAGTAGAGCTAGCAGTGGCAGCAAGTGCAACAGCAGTACCGACAGAGGCAGCAATTATTTCCCCTCCTGCGTTCAAACCTTCTATGACAGGTGGACCATTGGTATTAGGTGTATCAATAGCTTCAGCGTGGTTTCCAAATGGATTGTTCATGTTTTGTTCTTGTCCTACAGATTGCGTGGTTATTATTGGCGTCAACATGCTACCCGTTTGAGCTGGTGCTTGACTGAGACCTTGTTTCTCGTTGAAGGGCTGGAATTCTGTAACAGGGCGGAGAGATAGTTGATGAGCTGCTCCTCCTTGGGCCGAACCTTGACTTGCTATGCGTGCAGCTTCTGCACGTTCAACTTCTGCGCGTCGAGCAGATGAAGCTTCCATGGCCGATTTTTCATCATCGAGACGCTCTCTCTTAGCAGCCTGCTTCTTCTTCCTAAAGAAGAACAAGAGGAGTACAAGCAAGGCTCCAAACAATAGTAAGATTCCAACAACCAGCCCTGCCTTACCACCCGTACTCATACCGGAACTTGAAGTGTCTGCAGCAGAAGTAGCAGTAGGAGACGCACTCGCGGAGGAAGCTGTTGCTGAACTCGATGTTGGTGTATTATTGGTGGCGGCAAGAAGAGCAACCGAAGTTCCTACAGATGATGTAGCGACGATGGAACTGGGAAGCTCGGTGGAGCTAGAAGCAGAAGTCTCAAGAGTGGAAGCGGCGGATGAAGTGTGGCTTTGACTCGAGGAACTGGAACTTGTTGTTTTGGCGGCGGTAGTTTTGATTGAAGAAGATGTTGTCTTCTCAACTTCAGCTGATGTTGTTTCATCATCATCTTGTCCGACCGTTGAATAGCCTGCAATTGAGCCGCTGAAGGTTGGTGCAGCCGTGACATATACGACTGATACAATTGTTTGTAATGCTGGATCTGGATTGGGTTGCCTGACCTCAATTGGTGCTGCGATTTCATCTTCATGTAATTCAAAGCGTCTTGCATGACGGGCATGTTGATGAGAACGACCTTTCATCTTTAGAGATCGAATTTGGCGTATCGAATAAGGGTTGCGGATGGACGTTGATTATTATTCGAAGTAGCGAGATCTTTCGAATTGAAATGGAGTATTTCGTTGATGGTGTACGGTATTGTCGAGATGATTGTAATAATCTATTATTCATCTGCCAGTAATGTGGCAGTATGTAACTTTTATTCGGAGGAAGGTGATGTGATGGTGGCCGGTCGCGTTTGTAAGGTTGGTGAAAAGAATGTAATTCGACTACTTTGATTTCCTGTCGCTGAGACTGTGTTAATTAATGATCGGCTCAATGTTATTGGCTAAACAATTCTCAGGACTCGAATTGTCGATGATGTTTATTGATCCTCGCCGATAAAAGAAGGACGACGAGATAGAGTTATTTGTGACTCTAAACTCTAGAGATGTGAAGGATGGGAAGAGGGAGGAAGAAAAAAGGTAAAGAAAGAGTGGTGTGGTGTGCCTGTGGTTGTGGTTGTGGTGTAGCGGGTGGCATAAGCGTAGGTACAAGCATAGATAGGTAGGGAATAGGGACCTCTACTTCCTTCCCTTTGTAAAATCCACAGCCATACCACGGAAAAAGGGTTCGTCTCTTCTTTCCTGGTGGTATCCTAAGAGCTTTTGAGCGGATTGCGGAGAAATGATTGGAAATCCATGTTGATTATGCAAACTAATTTGTCTCACAGATCCAACTCTTTCCTTTTACAGTTAAGATCAATTTCTTGCAGCTCTTGACATTTGCATGGGAATCTACGATGTGCGTGGTTGTGGTACTCTCGACCTATTTCGAGCTACAAACTCAGGCACGATGCAGGGGCATCAGATTCTACCTTAAACCCAAAGTAGATAAGCTCCAGGAACAAGCCACAGACCCTTTCCATCAATCCCGCGTGTGATTGGTGAGTGGGATGGAAATGAAATTACGTCTCCCAGGGATTGTCATGGATGTTTGGAGCTTTACCCTATCATTGATTAGCATAGCATGTAGTGCATACTGCAGGTGATAATGTGCCAATGCCATGCATATTCAGGAACCGGAACCGGAATAACCTACCTAGGTCTAATAAATACAAACGAAAAGAAATTGGAAAGTGATTTGGGGAATGATGAATCAAAAGGACGAATGAAAGAAAGAATCAAGCAATCGAGAGAGTGTGACGGGATAAATATGAAGAGAGGAAAGAAATGAGAAATGAAAGCGAATCATCTTTATTCAAACATTTGTGCAAGCAAGTAAGTACTTGATCACTATTGCGTCCTTTTTCATAACAATACACCTCTTCATCTCAAGCAAAAGATACGAGTATCCACCCATCTTTAATGTTATCATCTCGGTGCCACGTACTACTCGGTCGTACGTATTAACATCAATTTATACACGCGCTTCGGTACCGAATCAAATTTCCTTGTCCTTAATATCTACCCAGGATCTCTACCTTGACTTGACGAATATTTGCACCTACTACGTACTCATCTTGGAAGGGGATTCAAGCCGTCAGTCAACCTTCAAGTGAATACATTCAAATCATACTATCATGGGAAAATCATCATTCGGGTTGCATTAGTATCAGCTGGTTATGCTCAGATAATATATACATAGGTATGATTCAGATTCAGGAGTGCTCTTTCCGAACGCCCGTGTATCTTTCCCGTAGGTGTCCAAACTTTGGAACGAAATTCATAAATATTTATATTTACTCAAATCAATTCACACATCCCAACATCATTGCGCGAAAAACGAAAAAAAAACTATAAAAAAAAAACTAAGTAACACAGACAAGATCTCCAAAGATCTCCCCCCAGCTTCCAATCTTCCTAACTTTCCCTACCTACCTACGTACCAAAACATACTCCATACTTCTATAATAAATACCTACCTACGTATACACAGCCACCATAAAAGCCATCATATCTCTCATTGTTTTATGAAGATCCTCATTTTCCTATTTTCTCGATTTTCTCATCCTTTTACCCACCTAGGTACCTAATCACGCACATAATTTAAAATTACAACACGACGATCCAAGATCCTCGTCATCATACTCCCTCCGTATGCTATGTCAACTTCGTGCGTGTAATGCACGTGCTTATGCTGTGGCTCTGTGAGTTTCCGTTGGTACTTACAGAGTACTAGGTGGATATAAGAACGTCAGGAGGTAAATTGAAGAATTGGGTCTGTTTCCTTGCGACTATTATTAGAAGTTCTTCATGGTCTGCTGGCTGATGGTTGACCTCGTTATTTATGTTACAATGGTAAGTCTTATTAGGTATTCATGTAATCACGTGACAAATTTTGCACATCTACGGCGTTTCAACCTTTTCCTCCGAGTTTTGATAGGTACTCGTAACATAGATTAGAATTTTGTGAAAATTCGAAAGATATTTGATTTATATCATGTTGTTTGTATCAAGCAGATCTGTCAGATCGCTTTATGCTGAATCCCATAACAGAAAAGCTAGCATTTTCCAAAATAACTCCACATCATATATAATTCAAGTAATCTCATATCATCATCGCAAGCCGAATTGAACTATCGTACGAGTATACCATCTAAAACGATGTTTCAAATATTAAGGGCAATTTTGTACTATAGGTTGATAGTTGCTTTATCGTCAATCAGTATGTTGTATCAGAACATGAATTACCAACAGTGTAGAATATTATTGTCGGCTTGCTGACTCCAAAACCTTGCTGTACGCGAGGTTTACCCGGTGGGTGATGGAAAATGAGAAACTCGCTTAGATGAGTCGCGATCCTGATAATCTGATTGGTCTAAAATACCCCAGTAAATACACCGGTAAATAATCTAACAAAAAGCTTGGTATAAGCCTTATAATCTCAAACAAATCTGACTTAGAACTTTTTTCAACTCAACTCAATTGAAATCATGTTACGAGGGATGCGATCTAGATCATATGGAAGTGGCCTGGATCCTCGAAGGGTTTATAACTAGGCGTCAAGCAGAGGCTTTAAATAATATCAATGGTTGCAATTCGTAACTAATAGTAGAATATACTAAATGATTGATTTTAAACACAAAGCTCTTATATATAGGAAACCCCTCTGATTTATATAGATCTTTGTATTTTGTAGAATCATATAGATCTATAATTTGTATAGATCTACGATTTGTATAGATTTATAATTTATATAAATTTACAATATATATCCTTGTATATATAAAGTCTATTATATAATCTCTTAGATCAGATTATAAATCCGAGTTTACTGAGGATAAAAAGATTATATAAAACGATTATTATACAAATTTGTATATAAATTGTTTTACTTTTTGATGAAATTTAAATTTATATAAATAGATTAATTATTACTTTATAATATTTTTTTTTTAATTTAATACTTATTTCAAGTTTTTATAATTGTTTTTTTTATTATATTATAAATTTTATAAAATAAAACTTTTTTTTTTGTTATATTATTTATAAAATTAAAAAAATATAAAGAATAAATTAAACTTATTATAATAATTTGATTATAACAATTTAATCGAGACAGCGGTTGTTTAAGGTTTTATATAATTGATAATTGTAAATTAAGATTAATAATTATTGATTATTTATTTGAAAATGAATTTGTTATTAAATCAATTGAAATATAAATAAACTAATTGATAATTAAGTTGAATATGAAGTTTTTAAATTATGAAATTATTTTGATTATATATTAATTCATTTTAAAAACTTTTAAAAGTGTAAACTCTTGTAAGCTTTATTATATAATTAGGATTAGATTATATATCTGAACTTATTAAAGATGAGAAGATTATATGAAATAATTATTATATAAATTTGTATATAAATTGTTTTGTTTTTCAAGAAGGTTTAAACTTATAAGAACAGGTTGATTATTACTTTGTAATATTCTATAAAATAATTTTGTGATATTGGTCGAGACAATAATTGTATAAGGTTTTATATAATTGATAGTTATAAATTAAGGTTATTAATTATTAATTATCTATTTGAAAATGAATTTATTATTAAATCAATTGAATATAAATAAACTAATTGATAATTAAATTGAATATAAAACTTTTAAATTATAAAACTATTCTAATTATATATTAATTTATTTCAAAAGCTTTCAAAAGTATAAACTTTTATAAATTCTTTAAAGCTTTTAAAAATATAGATTCTTCAAGGTTTTATTATATAATTAAGATCAGATTATATATTTAAATTTGTTGAAGATAAAAAGATTATATAAAACGATTATTATATTATAAAGTAACAATTAACCTGTCTATGTGTTACGAGGGTTGCGATCTAGATCACGTGGAAATGGCCTGGATCCTCGAATGGTTTATAACTAGGCGTCAAGCAAGAGCTTTAAAGTAATATCAATAATTGCAATTCGTAACTAATAATAGAGTATATTAAATAATTAATCTTGAGTACAAAGTTTTATAAAAAGAATCCTTTCCTAGTTATATAGATCTTCATATCAATTGGATTATAAGGATCTAATGGATCTAGGATATGATTCTTTATATCCTCTAGATCCTATGATTCATTATATGATTACGATTAGACTATATATCCGAGCTTGCTAAAAATAGGAAGATTATATAAGGCGATTACTATACAAATTTGTATACAAATCATTTTGCTTTTCGATAGGGTTTAAGTTTATATAGATAGGTTGATTATTATTATATAATATTATTCCTTTTCTAATTTAATATTTATCTCAAACTTTTATAATAATCTTGTTTATTGATTTATAGGATTTTTATAAAATAGATTTTCCTTTCTTTTATTATACTATTTATATAATCAAAGAAATATAAAGAATAAATCGAGTTCACAAAATTAATTGAATTTTAAGAAAATATTATATCTTTATATACTTATTGCAAAAATAACTTTCGTATTTGTATTATTTCGAAAAAGAATTCTTTTCGATATAGCAAATATATATATCGAAAAATCAAATATAATTTTATAAGCCTTTTTGTTATAGATATATATAATCTGATTCGGGAATAGAAATATTTAAACGAAAAGAAGGAAAAAGCAATTAATTTAATTATAGCTATTATTTCTTGTCTGATATGATTATACAAACAATATAAATTTCTTCAAATTCGTAATAATGAAATGATTTGTCGAAGTTTGAAAACAATAGATAAGTTGAAGAAGTTTAAGGGAAAGAAAGATTTAGAGAAAGGAATTGTTGAAAAAAAGAAGGGGGTTTTGTTGTTTAATATTCTTGATCTTAAAGATGATTCTTTTGTAATGTCTTTTCCTGATTCTTCTTTTTTTGATTCTTTGGATCCTAATGATCCGATTTGAGCAATTCTGAATATCGTTAATAGAATGCTTTCAGTTTTTTAAAATAATTAAGATCTTTCTTTAACTTTTAAGTATTCTTCGAATATAGGAAATTCAATTATTTAATTAAATATTTGATTTTGCTTTTGAT